TGGGTAACCATCAACTCTTGATGATTTTTATGGTCATCTCCTTCTTTGGGCCAGATGTGTCTAATCAGTGAATAAAATAAAAATGTTTGATTAGAAAGACAAGTCTACAAAATTAATCAGAAATTTGGATGATCTTTTTGGTAGTGTGCATAATACTGACACTTCCAGTTACAATTCTTTGCCAATCCATTAAAATCTCACAAATAAAATTCCTTTACTTCTATTCAAAGTAAGCTACGAGTGTATAATACTCTATGTCACATACATGCTTTTCAATCATTATCCTTTAATCTTCTAAGTCAATAAACTATCTTTTAACTTTTTATTCTGAAATCATTTTAGATATATAGGGACGTTGCAAAAACAGGAGAGTTCAAGTATACCCTTCATCCTGTTTCCCTTAAGAGTAACAATTTGCCTAACTATAGTGTAATTATCAAAACTAGGAAATTAACATTTGTATAATACTATTAATTAAACTACAGACCTCATTTGAATTTCACCTGTTGCCCCCTCAATGTCTTTTTTCGGTCCCAGAATCTAATCCGAGATCTCCCAGTGCAATGTCAGTGTGTCTCCTTAGTTTCCTCCCACCTATGACAGCTCCTCATCCTTTCCTAGTACAGCGGTCCTCCACATGACGACATTTCAGTCAATGAGGGACCACACTTATGATGGTGGTCCCATAAGATTTTAATGGAGCTGAAAAATTCCTATCACCTAGTGATACCATAGCCATCGTAACGTCATAGTGCAATGCATTATTCACATGTCTGTGGTGATGCTGGTGTAAACGAACCTACTGCTCTGCCAGTCATACAAAAGCACAGATATATAATACTTGATAATGATAATAAATGAATGACTACGTTACAAGTTCGTGTATTTATTATATTAAACTGTTTATCGTTTCATGTATATTTCTACTTATAGCAAAATTTGCTGTAAAACAGTATGCTGTGCTGTATGGCGGCAGCTTCATACAACTTGTTTACCGCGTCTCTTGATTGCGTGATTTTCTCTTGTGCTTGATTTAATCTCATGTTGCTTTATAAATTTAGTGTAGCCTAAGTGTACAGTATTTATAAAGTCTACAGTACCATTAGGTAATGCACTAGGCCTTCACATTCACTCACCGCTCACTCGTTGACTCACCTAGAGCAACTTCTAGTCCCACAAGCTCCGTTCATGGTAAGTGCCCTAAGTGTATAGCATTTTAAATCTTTTTTACTATATTTTTATTGTACCTTTTCTATGTTTAGATAAGGTTAAATACACAAATACTATTATAACTACCTACAGTATTCAGTACAGTAACATGTGTACAGGTTTACAGTCTAGAAGCAATAGCCTATACCATTTAGCCTAGGTGTGTAATAGGCTATGCCATCTAGGTTTGTGTAAGTGCATTCAATGTTTGCACAATGACAAATTCACCTAATGACACATTTCTCAGAACGTATCCCCATCATTAGGTAGCACAAGACTATATAGTCAAAATTTTTTATAACAAAAAACATTTATTTACAAATTATAAATATATATTATTACTAATATTTTTGTCACATAAAAATACATAAAAATACAAATATTAAAGGGCTGAATTTTACAAAAGAGAAATCCTTACATTTTCTTTATCCCAATGGATTCTCCTATATGCTCCCATTTTGATGTAAATAATAGGAATTTGGCTTTCTTCTACCAGATCATTTTAGGAAAATATCACATGAAAAACTAAGACACATTCCTGC